TTTTAAGAATCAACACAGATTTCCTAGATGGTGCAGACAGAGATGGACTTCCAGACAGTGAAAGCAGTACAAGCAAGGACTCAGATATAGAGAAGAGGTTGAAGTATTTAAGAAACTGCAAGAAAACCAGCCAGGTTGAAACATAAAAGTGATCACATGGGGTAGCATGTGACAGGAAACATAAGCACTTTATGTGATACTAACCAATTCCAATTTATTGTAATTAGGGAACTATTGATTTTAATATATGAAGAGTTTGAGTAATAAAAGAGGTTCTACATGGTATTTATATCATGAGGTCTATAGGCCATAAAACTTAAGGACTGGAGATGGTTCAAGGGTCACAGCTAAGTAGAAATAGCGAAATTAAAAATAGAAGACCCTGCTGGAGATTGAAGACTGTTTCCGAGAGCCCTGGGCCCACTAAAACTGAGAATGGAACATTTTACATCTAAGTCTCTTGACCAAGATTTCATCCATGCTTTTTTTTTTCATTCAATGCATATTGACACACCACAAAGCCACAGCCTTGGCAGTGTCAATATTTTAAGGGAAATACTCAAAGCACAGGGAATTCTAGTGGCCTGATATGTAAGGGGTTTTGTTTTTTGTTTTTCTGTTTTTTGTTGTTGTTGTTGTTGTTGTTTTTTGTGTTTTGTATTTTTTTTTTTTTATTTTTTAATAAAGTTTGTAATCCAATGGACACACAAAACAAAACTGCGCTGAGAAAAACAGTTTCATAAATTAATAAGTGTTAGGAAGTTGGGGGCGGTCCAGGTAGAGATCAGCCAGTCTCTCTTTACAGGTGCTGTTTTATTATTTTCTGTACCGTCAAATCGGATCTGACTGGTAGAGGAGGAGATGGCCCCTCCTTCTCCAGCAGAGCATCTGGTGGATTCGAACCGCTTATCTCTGGGATTGCAGGGCAACTTCTTGCCACTAGGGTGGTTCGAATCTACCAGCAACTCTGCAGGAGAAAAATGTGCAGTCTCCTCCCATGCAATTTCCAGCCTCTGAAACCCTACGGGAGGGTCACCTATGAGTCAGTCCTGACTCAATGGCACATAACGACAACATTCCAAAACGCTGGTGACTTTTAAAATGGCATGTCAAATCTCCAGGAAACTTGATACTCATTAGAGATAACTGGAATAATACATTATGACTTGTGAATTCTAGTTTTGAGTGCCCTGGAGGATGGAAGACAATAGCAGCAATAGGACCGTGAGTACTGAGCCTCTGGACAGTAGAGTGGCTTACCTAACTGAGAGCACAAGGACAATTTCACTGCCCCTCAAGATGGGGGTATCATAGGTTCATAGGGTTATTGAAGACTTGTTATTTCAGAAGCGCATAGCCAAACTCGCTTCCTACTCTGCCAGTCTAGGAGCTCTGCTGCAAGATGCCCCCCATGGGGGACCCTTCTGACATATCAAACATATAGCTTCCAGCGTAACAACAACTCACAGGTCACACCAGTACAGCAGACCGACAGAAAAGTGCTGTACTAATAAGAGCAAATAATAAACAAGCAAGCTTATATGCACTTAAGAACAATATATACTCCTAATGAAACAATATCATTCCTAATGAACCAAGCAAGTGTATACGTACCCAAGAACAATGCACACACACAATAATGAACTCCTAACGAACAATATCATTAATATCACATACAAGCAAAATATTTTTGAAGATCATCCAAAACAGCTAGAATGGTATACTGACAAGGAAATTCCAGAAGTTCAAGTGTGGTTTGCAAGAGGCAGTGGCACCAAGGATATAATTCCCGAGGTCAGATGGATCCTGGCTGAAAGTAGAGAATACCAGAAGCATGTCTATTTGTGTTTTATTGACTATCCAAAGGCTAACATTAAGAAGAATGGGAATCCCAGACACTTAATTGTGCTTATATGAAATCTATGCCTAGACCAGGAATCTGTTCGAACAGAGAATGAGAACACTGCATGGTTTAAAAACAGGAAGGGAGTGTGCCAGGTAAGAATCATTTCTCCATACACATTTAATCTGTATGCTGAGAAAATAGTACAGGAAGATGGATTCTATGACGAGGAATGTGGCATCAGCATTGGCAGAAGACGTCAATAAACTGCATTATGTAGACGACACAACCTTCTTGCTGAAAGTGAGGATGATTTGAAATACTTTTTTGCAGAAGATTAAGTGCTACAATCTTCAATATGAATTACAACTCAATATCAAGGGGAAAAAAGATTCCTCACCATAAGTAACATCATTATAGATGGAGAAAGAATCAAAGTTGTCAATGATTTCATCTTGCTTGGATCAACAATCAATATCCTCACCTCCAGCAGTCATAAGATCAAGAGATGTATTCCACTGGGCAACTCTGCTGTCAAAGACCTCTCCAAAATACTGAAGAGCAATGATACCATCTTGAAGACTAAGGTGTGCCCGATTCAGTCCATGATCTTTTCAATCACTTGCTGTGCATCTGAGAGCTGGACAGTAAATAAGAATGACATAAGAATTGATGCCTTTGAGTTATGTTGTTGAAGAGGAGTATTGAACATACCATGGACTGCCAAAAGAACAAACAGATATGTCTTGGAAAAATTATCATCAGAGTGCTCTTGGGAGGCAAAGATATGAAGCTTCCTCTTTCATACTTTGGACACATTGCTAGGAAAGGCTATACTTTGGAAAAGAACATCATGCTATGAAAGTAGAGGCTCAGCAGAATAGAAGAAGCCCCTCGAGGAGATGGACTGGCATGGTGACTGCAGCAATGGGCTCTCATGTATCAGAGGTGACGATGATGGCACAGGATAGGGAAGGATTCGGGTCTGTTGTTCATAGGGTTGCGGAGACATACTCAACTCGACAGCATCTAACAACAACAGCAACATGACGGGGAGTGATCTTCAGAGTGCAATTACATTTCCATATACTCCCAGCAAAGAAGAGCATCCAAGAAGATGTAAGTGGAAAAGCCCAATTCACCCTTATATCCAAGAGGAATGGACCAGGCTGCCTAGGTTAGAGACTGGAGTCGCTTCCTCCTATTGGAGAGAGACCAAAAGACTTCTGAGTCCAGATCAAGGCCATACGGTAAATGTTGTTGTGCGCCTTCATGTTAAAACTGACTCTTCACTGACCTTCCACTGTATTTTCAGAGGCTGTGAATTGTACGGGAGGAAACTGCCTTTCTTCTCCAGAGCAGGGGGTAGATTTGAACCACATACCTATGGCTTGATACCACAATTCCTTACTGTTAGGCCACCAGAGCTCCCTATATTGTAACAAAGGTTTTCCTCTAATTTCTGCCATTAATTAATTATGTGACCATAATAGCCTAGTGGTAAGAAATTTTGCTGCAATCCGAAAGGCATGCAGTTCAAATCCACCAGCTGCTCTGCTGGAAAAGGATGGGCAATTTCCCCCTGTGTAATTACTGTTTCAGAAAACCCACTGGAGAGTCTGCTATGGGCCAGCTCTGACTTGATGGTACACAACAATAACAAGCAGAATAGGGTGAAGTTCATATCTGTTGTTCATAGGGTCACTATGAAGTAGAGTCCACTTAACAGAAACAAGCATGAAACTTATTTTTGTTTCCATTTTCTTTAAACAACATGGAGAATCTGGATCTGATGATCTCTAAGATACCTTACAGCTGAATTCTAGAAGTCCTAATCCACAGCATAAACAGTCTTCTAAGCATCCTGAAAAAAATTACAACCACAAGAGGATAAAATAGATTAATGGAACCTGCTAAGAATAAAATCACTTTGCACATCCAAAACTTTCTCCAATAGGGTAAAAAGGGAAGCTGAGACTGGGGAAAAATATTTGGCAATGACATGTCTGATAAGGGACTTCTTTCTAGAATTTATAGACTGCTCGAGCACTACAACAAGATAAACAACCCAACTGAAAAATGGGCACAAGATATGAACGGACATTTCACCAAAGATGACATTCAGATGGCAAAAAACACATGAAGTATTCAAAATCCCTAGCTCTAAGAGAGATGCAAATCAAAACAAGTATAAGATAACATCGTACCCTGGTAAAAATAGCAAAATTCTATAGAAAAGCAAACAGCAAAGGCTGGTGAGGTTGCAGAAAAACTGGAACTCCTGTTCCAGTGTAAAATGGTGCAACCACTAAGGAAGGCAGTGTGGCACTTTCTCAAAAAGTTGCAAATAGAAATAGTATTTGACCCAGCAATTCCACTACTGGGAATATACCCTAAAGAAACCATAACCACCACCCAAGAATATATATGCACACCCATGTTTATTGCAGCTTTGTTCACAATAGCAAAGAGTTGGAAACAACCTAAGTGCCCATCAACAAGCGAATGGATGGAGAAGCTGTGGTATATTCACACAATGGAATACTATGCTGCATTGAAAAACAAAGAACTCATGAAATATTACACAAAATGCGTGACCCTGGAGGACATTATGCTGAGTGAAATATCTCAGTCACAAAAGAATAAATACTGCATAGTGCCATTGTTGTAAAGTGGGACTGACATCGGGGTCAGGGGAAACCTAAGAAAAGAGGGAATAAATAATGTATACTGCATTGAGACTGATGAGGAAGAGAACTATTTAAAAGGAATATAGGATTAGGTATTATTTTCATGACAAGATTATAGGGGAAAACTGCATAGTAAAGTGGACTTGGAAGAAGATTGTATAACAATGAAAGAATTTTTTTTTCTTTTCAAAGAGAAAAAATGAACTGGGAGGCGGGGTGGGCAGGGAGGAAAACGTGCAACGATGAATGAATGGGGGAAATTAAATTGAAAGAATATACTGTAAAAAATATATGTTGCATTAAAAAAATCATTAATAAAAAATGCAAAAAAAAGTTAAACAAACAAATGAAAAATACCTTCCAGTTATAATATTTTATTAGGATTTCAGGTGGTTATCAGAGATGAAAAAAGCTTTGTTGATTAATAACTGTATTCTATAAATAACATTTTCTTTTCCTCCTTTTAGGAACTGCCGTGTGAAAATGACCCAGCAAATGCAGAATTTACATCTCACTCAGTCGAAAAAACACAGCGCTCCATCTTCTCCCAATGCTGCCAAGCGCCTCTACAGAAACCTCTCTGAGAAACTGAAGGGCAGCCACTCTTCATTTGATGAGGCCTATTTCAGGAGCAGAACTGACCGGCTCAGTCTTAGGAAGACCTCGGTGGTAATACAGTTCTTTGCTCTTATCTCAGTTTGATTTGCTAGGTTATTGGGGGTGGGGTGGGGGGTAAGGAGACCCTAAGATGATCCACATTTACTTCAGAGCATGATGTTTGCAATGAAAAAAAGGTGATGCAAATTCAAGGAGGGCAGGGACTACAGATACCTGTGTTATAAGCTAAAGTTTTATATGGCTCTGAGATTTCTTTTTTTCCTCTGCTTTTCCTTTCTCTCTGAGATCAAATTTTGGATCGATTCAGTGATTGGGGTAATGGGTATAGGTGTGTCAGAGACAGTGAGGTTGACACAGGATAGAGCAGGGTTAAGGGCTCTTGTACATAGGGTCGATATGAGTCGCAAGCGACTTGACAACACGTAACAACAATGAGAACAAAGATGCCAATCTCAGAAATACAGCCATCAGACAAGCATGGAATGTCAGATAAAATAGGCTCTGAGAGACTGCCAGAGTTCATTCTTATAGCAAGGGGATCATTTTATTTATCTATTTATGTGTAACTCATGCACTTCCAAAAGGATTCAAGACAGAATAAAGGCAGAGAACACATAACGTATATGTGTTATATCTATCTTCTATAATGCTCTTTAGAAAATTATGCTACCAAGCCGAAGGTGGGTGATTTTAATCTGCGGCCCTCAGGCCGAGCTCATATTGTTTTCCTGTCAAACATTCCTCGAAGTGGTATAGCACTGGTCTGTGCATTGCTGTACAGATGTAACTCGTGGTTGCTGTGATGCTGAACACTGGGACACTGTTGTGCCAATCGTGGTAATGGGTACCCATGATGGACAGTGTTTGCTGGAGCTTCCTGACTAAAACAAGCCTGGAAGCAGGAGCAGCATCCACTTCTGAAATGGCTTGCCTCCAGAAACTCTACGTATGAACAGTGCTCAGGCCTTTCATTCATAGGGTCGCTATGAGTCATCTATGACTTGATGGCACCTAACAACATAATGCTCTTTTAAAACCAGGAATATAATGAAAATGAAAAAGAAAGTATTTGGAGTTAGAAGAGAGATAAACTAAAATCCTTGGCAAATATCTAGTGAAAACAACGAGAAGGACCATTTCTCTTGAGTAGATTGCATGGGTGTCAGGGTAGAACTGTGCTTTGTAAGATTTTCAAAGGCTAATTTCTCTGAAGGAGATCACCTGGCCTTTCTTTCAAGGTACCTCTGGGTAGACCTGAACCAATCTCTCAGTCAACAACTGTGTTAACCAATCTCTCAGTTAACAACTGTGTTAATTCCCTCCAGGAATTTCCAAATACAGGCAACGATGATGTTGTTATTGCTAGGTGCCATCAATTAGGGCTCCCAGGGAGCCTGTGAACTACAGCTCTGAACCTTGCCCTTATCCTGTGCCATCTCACCATCTCTAATATGCCGAGCCCATCACCATAGTCACTGTGTCAGTCCCTCTTGTTGAGGACCTTCCTCTCTTTCTCTGATCCTCAGCCTTTCCCCACGGAGCCTTGGTGGCCTAGTGGCAAGAAGCTGAGCTACAATCTCAAGAACATGCAGTTCAAATCTACCAGCTGCTCCACGGGAGGCTGGGCAATCTCTTCCCGTACATCTTGTTGTTGTATGTGCCTGGCCCTCCAGCAGGTTTTCAGAGGCAGTAAATCGCATAAGAGACTGCCCATCCTTCTCCAGCAAGCAGCTTGTGAATTCAAACTGTCTTTGGGATTGCAATGCAGCTTCTTACCACTAGGCTGTCAGAGTGCCCTATAACCTCCTGGAGCATTAGCTATGAGTTGGTTCCAACTCCAGGTCATCCAGCAACTGCCTTTCCCAGCATGACGTCCTTCTCCAAGGACTGGCCCTTCTTGACAACATACCCAAAGTCTGTGGGACGAAGTTACACCATCCTTGCTTCTAAGGAGCACTCTGGCTGCCCTTCCTCCAAGAAAGACAGACAAATACAGCGACTAAAATGTATTATTAGCAGTCAAAGGAGCAAGAGAAACACAATTAGTTATAGCATCCAGTTAATGTATGACAGAATGGTAAAATAGAGAATGGTCTACAAAGCAGTACTGGTGACACTGGAGACATGTTTATATAATATTTTCTCATTTGGACCTGCAGTAAACGCTGAGGACTTAATTTTAACATGCTGAGCAAGGACATTTCTGCAGGGGGTAATGGCACCATTTGTCTAAGTCCAAAACAGAAAGGAGTCTGAGGCCTTCCAGACACTAGCATGCCAGAGTGTGCCAACAAAAGCAGGGGTTGGATGAAATGATTTAAGAATGAGACCTAACATGGCACACGAGACATTAGAAATAACGAGAGTCACAAACAAATAACATAATTGTGGACATGGCAACAGTTTAACTTTGAAGTCATTTGTTTTCTAATTTGTTTTCTCATTTCAAAAGCATCTTCTGGGAGGGTTTGGTTGTGGTTGAGCTGTGGCCTCGGCATCAGAGACTCTTCACTTAGGCAGATAGTCGACAAAACACTTTTTCATTCAGCAGACTGTCCTATAGCAAAAGAACGCTGTACACCAAATAGCTGAGTCCCTCGAGTCTCACTGTCAAAACAATCATGTGCATATTAGCTTTGTATATTTCCTCTCAATTTTAATCATGTTCTCAGCTAAAGTCAACCTGCTGCCTCTTGGAGGGAGAAATCTCTTTCTGATGAAACGAAAAATTAAACCTGGCCCTCTAATTGTTTGGTCACTGAAGATATAAAACATGTGAATAGGCAAGCTCTATGCTAGGTCAGGAACAATGGTGTTTCAACATTTGCAAAAGCCAAACAGCGCTTAGGGAAGAGATCAAGTAGATGTTTAAGTAGAACATATTTTGCTCTTTTTCTATAAGGTACAGAAATATGTATCTGAAAAAATTGCAGTTTTTTTTTCTCTTATTTACTATTAATCCTCTGAAGGAACTTTTCCATGGAACACTATTGCTTTTAGTTACATTTCCCCTCCTCTAACACTCTCAAGATCACAATGTGCCACTGTCACTGATTTCATCAACTCTAACCTCACTTACACACCTTCAGAGACTCTATGAACTTTGATAAATGTCAATAGTTACAGAAAGGCTTCAGGCCTTTTGTTCATAGGATCATTATGAGTCATGCTCGACTCAAAGGCAATGAACAACAACAATAACAACCCTCACCGAGGGAGCCCTCCTGGTTGCTTACTGGTAACCAAAAACAACCACACAGTTCAAAGCCACTAGATACTCCATAGAGGAAGATGGGCAACCTCCTCCCCACACAATTTACTGTATCTGAAAACCTACTGGAGGGCCAGCTATGAGTCATTTCATTTCTGACTCGACAGTACACAACGACCACCCCACACCTCAAGACTCAAAAATATCCACTATTCAATGATGGAGGTATGGACTGATAGTCAAGGTTGGAACACAAATAAGGCTAGGAGCTTGGTCATCAGCAGGAAAACAGATAGGAAAGAGTGGCACATAGTGTTGCATTGTTCAGAAGGATTATTCACACACCAATATGAGTTAAGGACTAGAACTAGCAACATATAGGTCATTGCCATAGTCTGGGCAAGAGATCTTAACAACCTGAATAGAGACATGAGATAGAGATGGACAGATTTGAGAAAGAAAGAGAATGCAGACTCTCAATTCCAATCTAGTTTATAAATGTAAACTACGTGTGGTACATTGCTATGCTATTGTTTCCCAAGCTGTGTGCTGGGAACACTGTTCCAGAAGCAGTTAAAGTAAAAGCAATGCTTGTTTCGCATCCTTTGGCTAAGACCATGTATAAAATAAATTCCATGAGAAACATGTTCTGTAACCAAAAAGTATTTCAAACATGTCATATTTTCCCCTCTTAGAAAACCACAGCTGCGTGTGGAAATTACTAAGGTTCTGTGAGGTCCTATAAGGTCCTATACTTCACCCAGAGTAACTGGATAACTTGATGCAGTATAGTATTTATCAACTGCATCGAGTTGATAAATCATTTATTTGACCTAGTGCTGCTTTCTTCACAGAGCACCTTCTAATGATCTATAGAACAGTATTCCACAGAACATGGGTTTCGAAAAGGCTGATTATTTTGCTCTTATTTCTAGACTAGCTTGGCTTTAACCGTCCAAGTACACAGAAATGTATAGTCTCAGCAGGAGAGAAGGCCCAACATGGAGCTTGCTTTGAGGCCTTGGGCTATTTTGTAGTTATGTCACTTATAACTTGAAGTGTAGTCACTAAAGAAGTCCCCCGAAATTCAAAACAGCTCAACGGTAAAGGCCTAGTGCTTTATGAAGGTGTGCTGACCTGGTTTGGCTCTTCTCCTTCAGAACTTCCAGGGCAATGAAGCCGTGTTTGAGGCCGTTGAGCAGCAGGACCTGGATGCTGTGCAGATCCTTCTGTATCAGTACACGCCAGACGAACTGGATCTCAACACGCCCAACAGTGAAGGGTTGACACCCCTGGATATTGCCATCATGACCAACAACGTGCCCATCGCTCGAATTCTCCTGAGGACGGGGGCCCGAGAAAGTCCACACTGTAAGTAAACCTGAGAACAAAGATCCATGCTATTAAAAATAGACACCAACTTCAGGTGCCCAAAAGAGTCACTGCTGATTTTCAAAACAGGCATATTTGCAAACTTTATATGTTGTTGTTGTCAGGTGCCAAGAAGTTGCTTTCAATTCATAGCGACCATATGTGTAATAGCTCTGAACCCTGCTCTATCCTGTGCCAACCTTATTGTCTCTGACACAACTACCCCCATTACCCCAGTCACTAAATTTTACATAAGCTTTCCCAAAAATCTGGCTGAACATCAGTTTCATTCTAAAATATGTAAAACAGCTTGGTATTGAAAGGGACCGCCAAAGAACTTTCTTGTAAGACTTTATCTTGCATTTTAAAGTAGTACTTGAGATTCCTCTAGGTTGTATAGCCCTGGTGTACAAGTTGCCGTCCCGTGGTCACTTGTGGTTGCTGTGAGGCTGAACACTGTGACACGGATGTGTCAAATGCGTTAATAGTTGGCTACACAGTGCGGACTGAGAGCAGGGTGGAGCTCCTCGATTGAACAAGTGTGGAAGGAGGAGTGGCATCCACTTCCATAATAGCTTGCCTCTGGAAACCCTATGAACCTGGAGAGAGGATGAAAGGCACCCAAGCGTCCAGGACTCTCCTTCATAGGGTCGCTATGAGTCGCCTGCGACTCGACGGCATTTAACAACAACAACAACAACGTGAGATAGTTTAGGGGAGGGTAGAGAGAAAGGGTACTTGTGTGTGTTTAAGTCTGCATCCACAGTCAGTAGGGGTCACACAAGTTGCTGCTCTAGGGTGTGGGCTTGAAGAAAACAAAACAAAATCCCTATTTGTACAGAATTTATACATCAGTGGGAGTTTCTGTTTGGCTTAGTAGTAAGGAATTGTGCTGTCAGTCCAAAGGCAGGTGGTTCAGGTCCACCAGCTGTTCCTCAGCAGAAAAAGGAATAATCTCCTCCCCTGTGATTTACTGTCTCTGAAGTAGATTCCAACTCAGTGGTAAAAAAATAACAACATATTGATGGAGGAGACTACAAATAAACAAGTAAATAGATTAATATATAAAGTCAAATAGTGAGAATTGCTATGAATAATGTAAGATGTGTGGTTGGTCATAAATTGATGTGAAGTGGTGAATTTTAAATAGGCTAGGCAAACCTTTCTGATATGGTGATATTTGAATGATATAAGGTATGAGCCGAGCTGTGACAAAATGCGATAAAATTCTAGGCAGTAACAGACAGCAGAAAAGTTTTGGGTCGGGGCAACAATAAGCTTGGCCGATTTCAAGACGAAAAAGATCAATGGGTCTAATGAAACGTGATCAGTAATACCCAAGAGAGAAGCCACTGGCAGCCAGTCATGTAGGGCCTTGTGAGTAGTCCTAAAAAGTTTCCTTCTTACTCTTAACGTAAAGGAAGACAGTGGAAAAATGGAAGGCAGACTGTGACATACACTGCTTTACATTCTTTATGTGTATGTTTAATCTTGTTTCTTTTTATTCATTCATTGTTGCACACTTTCTTCCACAAGACTCAACACAGACAGTTGTGGAGCAAATGTGAAATTAGGAAGTTTAACTGGTTGCTGTCAGGTAGATTCCCACTGAGGGTTGCCCCTTGTGCAGCAGAGTTAAAACGTGCTCCGCGAGAGTCTCAGTGGCTGATTGTTTGGGAAGTAGATTGCCAGACCTTTTTATTTGCTCAGCAGCTCTAGGATGATTCAAACCTTCAAATCATAGGGGTTTTGATGGGTGGAGGGATGGGTGGGTAAAGGGAAGGGAAAGACCCAGTGTGAAAAACAATATATAAGAGCTTTACGAACTTTGTAAGTAAACCAATACAAAATTTAAGACAAAAAAAAATCAAATTGGCAGCCAACTATATTAAAAGAAGACTCAAGGTGAAGACAGGGTGGGATAGGGGAAAATAAAACAACAACAAATAAAATCCACAAAAAGACTGGACTTACTGCAGACTATATCAACCTAAGACACCCTGCTGACTAAAGTAATTTCCAGAGACTACCTTTCAGCCAAACAACAGAAAGATTCTTAGGGAAACCCACTGTAGGAGCTCAAAACAATAAGATGTTCCCACGAGCAAAGATGAGAAGGAAGAAAAAGATAGAAAATGAGGATGAAAGGAAACAGAAAACCCAGGGCAGAAATGGGGAGAGTGTGGACAAGTTGCCATAGAACACTCCCTAGCTCACTACTGAGTGAGAATCCAATTTTTTTTCTGGAAACTTTTACCTTGAGTTTTTTACCCCAACTATTTTTTTAGAAAATGAAAAACCAATGCTATTTGTAAACTATCATTCAAATATTTTTAATACAATTTTTATTTTAAATTGGTTTACTTACAAAGTTTGTATATATTGTTTTTCACACAAAAGAGTAAGTCATTAGACAGGCGCTCAATTAAAACAAGAAGATGACGAGAAACAAGGTTGTCCCAGTAGGAGCCCACTTTGGTGGTTCAGAAGAGAGGCTCTAGTTCTCAGACTAGAATGGTGGTGACAGCACTGGGGAGCAGTGGTAGAACTATCAAGATGTTTTTTTTTTCCCAACAACATTATTAAGATATTCATATACCATTCAATTTATTCATTTAAAATATACAATTTAATGGTTTCTAGTATATTCTCAGGGCTGCACAATCCTCACCACAGTCAATTTAAGGGCATTTTCATCACCCCCAAAAGAAACGTAATACTCTTTAGCTATCACTTCACAACCTCCCCCACCCCATGCACTCAGCCCTGTCCAACACTAAGCTACTTTATGTCCCTCTCTATTTGTCTACTTTGAACATTTCATAGAAATGTAATCATATAATAGATAGTCTTTTGTAACTGGCATCGTTCTGACGTATTTGAAGTCTGACAGTCCTTACCACCACCAGTCAAAGTCAACCACTTGCTGTCAAGTCAATTCTGACTCATGGCTGCCCCATGTGTTTCAGGAGTTCTCAATGTCTAGGACTTGCAAGGAGGAAATTACCAGCCCTCTCTTTCAAATTCTCCCTCAGTGGATTCAAACACCAGTCTCTTGGTGAGCTAAGTCTGTAACCACATGCACCACTCAGGAACTCTGATCTCCCACTCACTCATAGTTCTCAAGTCAGAACTGACCCATAGCTGACTCCCCAGTGGGTTTTCAGAGGCTATAAATCACATGGAAGGAGCTTTCCCATCTTTCTCCTAGTGAATTTGACCACTGGAAAGGCGCCCCTCTGGATTAGCAGAGCAACTCCCTGCGGACTTTGCCATGCTGGCTCCGCCAAGAAAGACTTTGCTGGCCAGGAAGGCAAATATTTCCCAGTGCTTGCAGCCCTTGCTCAGGGGTGGACAGGATAATAGCCTCCAGCACTTGCCCCATGGCAGGCACTGTTCTGAGCACTTCTATGCCTTGACTCCTTTAATCCTCACCATGAGGTAGGCACTAACATTCTTGTCTGGTGTAAACCCTCTGACCCAATGACCACAAATGGCTCTAAGCCACAGTTTTCATGTTTCCTAAAAGGAAAGAGGGGGGGGGGGAGTCAACTCATCGAACTGTTAGTTTCACTAATGCTGATTCACTTACTTCCAAGTGGTGAGAACCAAAAGGTTGAAAGAGGAGCAAGCAAATATGTAATTAGAGGTCACATCTCTGCTGCTCAGTTTCAGAAACCGCTACCACCCAAAGACTCTTCGTAAACTCGCTACAGAAGCCGAGCCTTGTATCAGAAAACTCTTTATTTCAAAAATGCTAAGTTCACCACATCCATGTCCAAGAGAGGAGGATATTCAGTTGGATGTGGGCTCTCCAAATGAACTCCATAGTCCAAGTATTTTTCCTTTTTGTAATGGAACTGGTGTATTTGAAGGAATGGGCAAATAGGAGTGGAAAGATGTCAAAAGGCTTCTTTTTTGCCCTCAGATTTATTCAGCAATAATGTCTGTCCCAAAGATCCAGTGGGAGAGGGGTGAGGGAAAGAATCAGTGGGTCTGAACACGGAGAATGCAGACTGAGCCCCATTCTATAGGAACAAGGAGACCATTCATCCAAATGTTGCCACGGCCATCCTGCACTGGCTGGATGAAACATTAGTCCTACTTACCTGAGACGCTACAAAGAACTCTGCATTTTCCATGAAAACAGAAAGACCTCCAACCTCCCAAAGCTGCTTTGTGATAGTCAAACTTCCATAAAAGGATTCAAGTCCTAAATGTCTAATGAAATCTAAGCAAATGTGTTTAAGAGAACCGTGACTTCCCTTGTCCTCTCTGGGATGACAACCAATTTAACCTCACAAGGTTGTAAAGAGAGTGAGCAATAATTTGGAGCTCTGCCTCAAGGAAATAGGACGTCTAGTTCATCCAAGCCACCCAAGAAGTCAAAGGGAGAGCAGTATCTGGGGACCCACACTTGTGAAGAATGCAGAGAAATATTGATTGTTTACCTATGAATTACCTACAGACATATTCCTGGGTCTTCACACCAACTCTGAAGAATGATGTCATTACCCTCATTTTGAAGATGTGGAATGTGTAGTTCTGAGAGGTTCCATGACTGACTGAAAGTCACACATCTAGCAAACGAATAGAGATATCGGGAGCTCATCTGATGACAGTCTCCTTCTGCACAAATATCCTTCCTTCCCAAATAAACAATATTGAGGACTGAGGCCACTAGGCCCTTCCTCTTTTTTTTTTTTTCACTCTTGGCTAAAACCTTTCAGTGTACAAATCCTTCTTTATTCTGTTTAATGTACTGAAGTACCATTCCTGCTGGAGGGAGGCAAGTTAGAAGAACACAATTTGTTTTCAGGGATTTTAAATTCACTTTATACATCTAGTATAAAAGAAGTAGAATCATTTCCCTGCATGAGTATAGAGCAGCCAATGAGAAAAACCATAGCTAGCCTGCCAACCAGAACCAGCTAAGCAAACACCTGCTGCAAACTGTTCCCATGAGCTGTAGAGGCAGACTGTAAGAGAAAGAAAATAAT